AGTTAGTTGTAATTTTTCACATTATTTTTCCTCATTATATTAATCTGTTACAATTAAACAATAAGTGAACTTTGACGGTATAAATAATTATATTGTTTCAATGTTTTAGGAACCAGAGCTCTCCAGATAGCAATGTGTGCTCCTGTGATGGTTGAATTAGAAGGAGAGACCGACCCTCTACAAATAGCCATGAAGGAATTGAAGCAACGTAAAATTCCCATCATCATCAGAAGATACCTGCCCGATCATTCCTATGAAGACTGGAGTATTGACGAACTTATTATAATTGATCATTAAATGTACTTTAGTTCATATGATTATATTAGGATAGTACTTAAGTTGCTTAGGAACATGTTTAGTAAATCTACCATTTGTAATGAGGAGGATAGAGGTATGAGTTAAGTATAATACAGAGGTGTTATTGGGAGAGAAACATAACGAGAATATTCCATATATATAGAAACACATAACATATATTATTATAATTTTATCTTAGGCATTTAACTGCTAGATGTTAAAATCTAAAGAAAATTTTAAAAGAAAAAAAAATTTACTTGTCTCCGTATCCTGTCTGCAACCTGGACTGAACAAATGTTTTTTCTAGTAAAGTTACATACATCTTATACTTGAATTGAAACTGCAAATGGTAGAATTACTTTACTAGTTAAATGAAATTATGCCCTATGTGACTCATACTTAAAGAGTCCAAAAAAGAAGCTGTAAATGAACCTGATATTATGAGGCTCGGAGGTTCCTTGCATTCAATTTGGCAACTCTAAAGATCTAAAATATTTGAATTTGAAAAACGTGTTTCATTTACAACTTCTGTGGCGGCTCCTTTGATTATTTATACGCCTAGAAAGAGAAATACAAATAAATCATGCAAAAAAATGCCTCATGTTTCACGAAATGTGTGCGTGACTAGTGTCAGATTGTAATGTCAATTTGTGTGTGAGTGTAGCAACAGCCATTTCTACCAAATTTAGTAGATATTTTTGTGCCGTCTCTGTGCAGTTAATACAGTGTCTAGAGTGTATATAGTCAAAGGATAGCTCCTCTGAGATTCAGCCAAGGCCCAGTGTATGTGCCCAAAATATCTTGTCCGCCGGCCATGTTCAATTTATGAATTCTTCAATTTAACCATAATATTTCATTTAAGTGAAATATGCCAAATTCTCTGACTTTTTGAAAAATATTTAGCAGATTTTGTGCAAGTGGCCCTTAGTTGCAATCTTTACCACCTGTGGGCAAACGTGAGAGTAATTTGCTCATAATTTGGAAAATAAAAATAATAAATTAAGTTCCATGAATATTGTGTAGTTGTAGGTGTTACCTAAAATAAATTTATTTTAATAGTAATTGTGTATTTTTATTGTTTACAGCTGTTTCCTTATAATGTGAGACAAACCTTGTTTGTTTGTCTGTTTCATGCATAGGAATTTATTTTTGTGTCTAAAGGTTATTTTTCCCTAGTTTTTAACTATATTTAAATTGAACTATGGATGAAATAACGCAGCCTTAATTTTCTTTATATTACGTTATAGGCAGATTGTAGATTTAGATATACTACATACCGGCTAGTCGATTTGAAAAACACAGCCGTTTTTTGCTACTGTAGGCTTAGTCACACTGTTATTAGGTTCTACAATACGGCAGCCGTTGTACCTCATTTTAGTAAAATCATAATTAGATTACTTAGAATAATATTTCTAAATTAGATTAACAATAGAGATGATGATGGGGTAAATCAAACGAAATTTAATTAGTCTGTCATTTACATTATCAAAAAAATAATGTACTTACACTTATTTATCTTTAGTCAACTAATCAAAAAATTACTGAGATAAAGCGCTTTAAGTTTGATAGTAAAATTTTACCGAGACGTGACGTCACGCGACATATATGTGTTATAAAAAACTAATCCGCACCGGGTCCATTTTCACCCATCAATCCGCGCTGGGTCCGTTATCACCCTCCAATCCGCACTGGCTTCATCATCACCCACCAATCCGCGCTGGGTCCGTTATCACCCACCAATCCGCACTGTGTCCATTGTCACCCACCTATCTGCGCTGGGTCCGTAATCACCCACCAATCCGCACTAGGTCCATTATCACCCACCAATCCGCGCTGGGTCCATTATCACCCACCAATCCGCGCTGGGTCCGTTATCACCCACCAATCCGCACTGGGTCCATTGTCACCCACCAATCTGCGCTGGGTCCGTAATCACCCACCAATCCGCACTAGGTCCATTATCACCCACCAATCCGCGCTGGGTCCATTATCACCCACCAATTCTCACTGGGTCCGTTATCACCCACCAATGCGCGCTGGGTCGTTATCAACCACCAAACACTAGATTCATGTATTTCGTAACGGGTATTGTTCATTGTGACGAGTCACCGATGACGCTAATCGTAACGCGAAATCGTAACACATTCGCCAGTTTACTCCCCAAGTCAAAGAAGTTTCACTTTAAAAAAAACCATTATCCCTATTTTAGGGTAACCACAACATTTGTGGAGCCCCGGCGAGGCCGGGAAGCTGCTGGAGGCGGAGCCGTGGTAGAATCCCTAACGGTTCCCCACGGCTCCGCACTAAGCAGTGTAGAAGGTATTCGCAGGACTTTTTTAGCGGATATTATGCTGTAAAGCGCACGTAAGAGTTGCGGGGTCCTCGGTGGTCAGCCACTGGGAGGTCTGTAAGACTTGCGGGAGCCAGGTGTGAGGTCCGTTCGGCGGTGTGCCTCTTATACCGGCCATACACACTACGAGAAATCGTTACGATCAGACTGTACAGTTCGAACGGAACAGTTTATACGATTTCGTTTAGTATAGGAAACTGTGCAGTTTTATAACATACACGCTACGATTTATCGGTACCGTTCGGACTGTACAGTCTAATCGTAACGATTTCTCGTAGTGTGTATGGCCGGTATTAAAGGCGCCGTCGTCTGTAAAAAGATTGTTTACCTGCGTTATAAAAAAAAATAAGGGTAACCACAACGTTTTATTAAAAGTAAAGCTTTAATTAATGTTTAAATCAACATTGATTAGGTATGATATGTTTGTTGGCTTGCGTTAAGATGACGCACTACAGTAGGTGCTAACAGAACGCGCTGTTAGATATTTCAACTGTCGTATCAGAAATTATTGCATTAGGAACGTGTATTCAGTGCGTAATCTACGTACCGTGTCGGTGCATCGAAGCCAATTTCAGTTACGTAAATAGTTTGCATGCTAGCCTATTTTCGGAAACTAATTCTTAATAGTAGGTAGGTAATAGACAGATTACATATGTATTAGCAACATCATCATCAGCCTATTAATGTCCCCACTGCTGGGGTACAGGTCTTCCCTATGGACGGAATAGGGAGATTGGGCCATGACCCACCACGCGGGCCCAGTGCAGATTGGTGGGTGCTAACGACTGCAGATGCAGCCGGGACCAACGGCTCAACGTGCCTTCCGAAGCACGGAGGAGCTCGAGATAGTAATTTTTGGTCACCCATCCAATGACCGACCACTGCCAAAGTTGCTTAACTTCAACGATCGCAGCCGAACGCGCTAACCACTCGTGCCATCGAGCTCCTCTCAATAGTTTGGTATAATAAATTTTATACCAAACTGCAACGAAGCGTGCGTGCCATATAACAATAATCTTTACGTAAGTAGGGCAGGATTTAGAGGTGTGGTGATCCCTAAATCTGCAAGGCCTCTTACGATTTGCACCCCCTGACCCTCTGCATTTAGATTCTACAAGCTACATACATATCTGTTACTAGATGATTCACGGTCATTGCGACATTTTGCTTTTTAATGGCTTTTTATCAAAATAATGTCTAAAATGGCAGCTACCGAATTCGAAAGTGTGATTTTATTTTCAAGAATGGCACTACAGACTGGTTCGTGACCTGTCGAAATTCGTGTTACTGTCTCTTTTTCTGCCTGCCCTGCCCTAAATCTGGACCTGTATACAAGGTAGTATAAACAGGGCCCAGGGGGCCAATCGCCTAACGGAAATGCTTTGGGAAACGCTAACGCTTACGATTTTATATTGTTATTTCTAGCCGCCTGAGGTTTTCGAATACCTCACGCTCATTTTTTTAATATTGTTATTACCAATGCAAAATAAAAAGAAAGAGCGCGAGGCATTTGAATACCTCAGGCGGCTAGAAATAACAAAATAAAATCGTAAGCGTTAGCGTTTTCCAAAGCATTTCCGTTAGGCGATTGGCCCCCAGGTCTTCTCTTCTCCGTTGTCTCAGGGCAGGTCCTTTTTGTTTTTGTGTCTGGGAAATGTTCTCGTACGTATCCTTCAGCCATCATGCGAGAAGAAGGTATCTGCGACTCCTCTATACTCTTCGCCAAGCGGAAAGCGGTCGCCTAATGCGCGTTGGGAGCAAGGGCGGATCCAGCTTTGGCGCCAAGGGGGGTCATATAGCCGTGGTATATTAAATATTGAAAGTACTTAAATAAAATCCCCCTTGGTTTGGTCCATCTGTACCCATCCCAGGGGGGGTCAAGACCCCCCCTCCCCCGTGGATCGCCCTTGATTGAGTTTTGGGTCCGTACGCAGGGGCGTAACTTTCTTATAAGTATTTGTACCTCGGATCCTTAATCACCAATCACAGTGTCGGAAATAACGTGATATGAGTACTGAATGAAATTATTATTTCACGGAAAGATTTAATTTTATGTATCATTACATTTAGATAGGGAAATATTGTAGCAGATAATTTGTACTGAAAAAGGATCGTATGCGCGTGCGCAAAGGACTTATGTTGTGAGTGGCGTTGTACACGCCGCGCTTTTCCTAAGCCATATAAAATTAGTTGCGCCACAATAAACCTTTTCGTCATTGTCACAATAGTCTTTATAGTATGTCGGCGATAGTTATTGTCTGAACATGACTTTGGCACACGTTGTAGAGTGAAATTCGCCGGTTGCTCCTGCGAGTCGCCTCGTCAGTACCCCTCCGACCAGCGATGCCGTGCTGTCTCCGAGAATAGAGTACGACCAGTGTCGCAACTACCCACACTCGCACCGTAACGCCATTAAATCGCGGTTTACATCAGAGCTTAGGAAAAAAAGCTTCTAATTAAAATTATCATTTCGGTTAATAAACGCGCGGAACAAAAACGCTCGCATTAAACCGCAATTTAATGACAACAACTCGAGTTGCATCGCACTCCGAGAGCGATGCGAGTCGTGTTTTCTTATTTGAAAAAATAAGGATTCGGTCGTATTCAGTGTAGTGTTAACTAACCATTAGGTCGGTCGACCGGGTGCGCGAGTGTGTGTGCAAATGACTGTAAGCCCGTCATCGATACGGGTTGAACTTGAACAAAAATGTGGACCAAGAGGTTAAAGTTATGGAGGTTTATGTTGTGCGTGTTGTTTGCTGTGTCTGCGCTCGCGGTGACGGCGAGAGGTGAGAATTCAGAGCTCGCTCCATGCGAGCCGTGCGTTTAGCGCTTTGCGTCACCGCACACCGACCGTCCGCTATTTTTGGCGTAACTTGCGCTGAAATTATGTAAAAAGCTCGCCTATGGGCTCTATTTTTGGCGATAACCTTAGGTAATGTTTTTGTATGATCCACTAACCCACATATTACTCAAATAGTGTTGTCCTAATATTAATTGGGTTTAACCTAAAGGTTGACGGGCGGAGAACGTACTGAGCAAAGCTTGATACGTAAATAGAAATACAGGGATATGTCGTTGCGTCGCCATCTTGTGAAAAACGATAGGATGGTGACGACATTATAAAAATGTGATATGATTATGAGCACCAGCCAGTTTATTATTCTTAAAAAAAAGGAAATAACTATTTAGGCTAAAATAAAATTATTAGGTACCAATACCGAGAGATTTTATAGTGAAGGCGAACGTAAAAGTTGACTGCCTTTCTGCTTCTAATTGACTCGTAGCACTACAACTGTTGGTAGCTATGTATAAAGAAGGATTGAAGTAACAGTAAAATTGGCTAAGAGCTTTACTGATTCCCCGTATGTGATTACTATCAACGACATGATTTCCATAAGTTCGTTCATCCCTGTATCAAGATACAAAACTATATTCTATTATGGCGGTTCCATATTGATTTCTACATATATTATAAAATTCTAAGACCATCGATCGGTCACCATAGCCTTTAGACGCTTGCGTTACCAAAAATATCACTTGCACTGTTGCCTACCCTGACTTAACCCTCTACCTTGTGGTGCCCTAGAATCATACTCACCATCAGAAACACAACTCCAAAAGATAGTGTTATTTTATTTTTTAGTGTATAAGAGAAACTCGAAGAAGCTTTTATCAAAATCAATTATTTTTTTTAATCAAGACCAAGATATTTAATCTTCCGGCTGAAATAAACTACAACACCAACCTACGCCACAGAGGCTTGAGATCACCCAGGGCTAAACTACTTAGTTAGCCACCTAGTCTTAATTATTATCACACTGGTCATTTTCAGACGTTGGAAAAGTAAGCCATATTTAAGAGAGAAAGAGAGCAATTTTACGTTAAAGACACATTTAAGACAAATGTCCACAACAAGAAAAGTAGTTTATAGTCCGATTAAAATCTGATAATCCACAATGAATCAACTTAAAAGATTACAGCAAACGGTTTAATTTAATCACTATTACAATACTGGTTATGAAGAAATTATAATGAGGACTATAGAAATGCTCTGTAAATACACTAATTAATCGATGAGAAAATCACGAGTTAGAAAAAGCATTCGATAGCGCGATGAAAACTTTTCTAAGCCAAATACCTGATTTACATGGGAGTAAATTGAAACTGGTACCTTTAGTAAAGGATCATTAAGGAAACTACGGGTTCGTTGGAGGTCTCACGTCTTTCATATCAAAAGATTATACAATGGTATCCCACAAGGTGTTAGTACTTGGACCAATTTTATTTACCTTCAACATATTTTTTTGTTATGTGAACAACACACAAAATCTGTAAATCTTCTTATAACTTAACCCCTTAGTTATTTATGCAGAAAGGTTCTGAGAGTTATTCTAATTACATTGATACCATCAAACGAAACCAAGTGATTAGTAACAATACCGACCGCAAATGATTGCTGGGTAGTAACTACCAATCAAAGAAAATACTGAAAAATGTTGACGGCAATACTTCCAACCACCCTAAACGATCTAATGAAAAAAATAGTTATTAGAAAAAAATCCTCTTGGTCCAGGTATATTTTCTATACTTTTTATGGATTTATAAGTCCAGCTGTTAAATGCTTAAAAATAAACGAAAGGGGTTACAGTTAACGAAATTCTTTTTAGCCCCTCAATTAGGTTATCACTTATTTTTGCTTTTGTCAATATACCAAAGCATGACAAAGATAAAGCGCGTCAAAGTTTGGGAGCGGGGGCTAGTGACGTCACTTCTAAGTAAAAATTGCACCAAGGCGTGACGTCATGCGACATTTCAAATCAATATATCTCTGCAGTGTTTTGATTATGTAAAAAAAGAAAAAAATACATACGTGTCTTATACTTTTTAATAATCTACCGGATAGACGAGGAAAAAAAGAAGCCGTCATCCCTATTGCTTGCTTTACCTCAAGCACGAAAGGCTCCGATAGCTAATTCTTTAACGTCCATAGAGAAACATTTTATATTGAACAGCTGAATCTAGTCTAACAATAAAGATGAGAGTACATTTATTTTAAATGAATCGTCTTTGGATTCACCTCGCGGCCGTTAAATCTACGTAAAGAATCACCTTGATGCGCAGCGGTATGCACCAAGGCCAAGATTCTGGGTCAGGCTCGGTTCTGTTGCCGTCGAAAATATTATTAAATACGACGGAAACGGATACAGGAGTAAAAGTTTACATTTTCGTTGCGTTGAAGTATGTATGGCCCATAGAGAATCTTAACACAACGCGTAGGTAACGCAAAAATACGAATGTATTTACAGAGCACGTTATAGTAAAATTGTTCGTAATACGTAACACGCTAGTATGTACCTAGTTTATTAATTTAAAATAACTCTTTTCTTCAAGATAAGCTAGGCTTGATATAAAATTAAGCAACTTAATTTAACATACAATACCTAGTTAATGGGCCCAATTCTAGCTTGACTATCTGAACCTAAACTTAAATTTGACACGAGTGTATCCTTGTCATTCTTTATACAAAATGAAAAGGACTGATATTAAAAGAGATTGCTCAAATTGGCCTAAATGCACAAAAACATATTGACATACACGGTAATTCTTGGCGTAATTTATAATTTAATTTACAGTTATTAGATTTCAACGGACACCTTTGTATAATATATTTACTTTAAAAAGGACTTTTAATTTTACCGGTTTGGAAAATATACGAATCATTTTTAATGGCTATGGGTGTAGTAACATTCAGCCAAAGACTAATCGAAATTGTTTATATAACATAAAAACAAATCTATTTTGTAAAGATCGCTAAAATAAATCATTTTTTTTATTACACTGTGGTATTAATATCCACAACTATATTATCATTTTCACTAGATGCAAATGTGCTCAGACAATTATTATAGATGGTAGGCGACATCATAAAGTCTATTGCCATACATTTTTCGCCAAACACCTCCATAAACACATTATAATCTGTATCTATCTATGGGTCTACGTTCCCTGACTATAAATTAATAAATAAATAAAATTATAAGGTGTGATACACTAATAACTAAAATATGGTTATCTTAAAAACATAACAAAAATAATGAAGCTATTGAATATATGGCTATAGAACCTAAATCTCTTAGCTTTCTTTGGTTAACGAGAGTTTAAAAATTCTCTCTAATCTGTGGCTCATTCACAATCATCACACAGTTTCTGTCACAGAGTACTTTATTATAACCGGAAATGACACCTGATTTTAAAAGTTACTCTTATGCATTAACTTTAAAAACAGTTAACTATCTGTTAATGTACATGCTCTATATACCTGAATCTAATCCATAATTTCGGTACTTGGCTTGATTTCCCTAGTTTACTATATAACTTATTTGTTGTTTATTATTTTAATATGTTCAGTGTATATGGTTTATAGAAGTTCTCAGGGGTGTCAGTCAATAATATTCGTTTCTACAGTAATTTATACATAATTTCGAATCTAGGAAACAATTTTTCATGATTATTGGTTTTTAGGCCAAACATGTATGGAAGCTGAGCAATCTCCTTTAGTTTTAAGTTTAGATAATCACGCTAGAATCGACACCAATGAGGGTCTTCCACGGCATATCGAATTCTAGTATATCAGTACCCCTAGCACGAACCATTATCGAATTCGAATAGTTTGCAAACCGAAATGTCAATGTCAAATTTTGTATGGAAACTTGAACAGCAGCGGCAAAAAGTAACGAGAACTAAAAATCAGTACACATTTGACAATGAAATTTCGGACTAGCAAACGATACGAATTCGATATTGGTTCGTGCTAGGGGTACAGATGTCAGTTGATCTGTGACAATAAACCGAAATCCCAATAACCAATATGCCATTTGATTGAATGACAAATAATCGATAGATCAATAGCCCGTTTATGCATATAGATCAAAAGTTAATTATATCGATGTTCTATAAGATCGAATGCCGAATGCGTCAGCTTTCTGATAAAAAATCTTATCGTGGCGTACAGTCCGTGTTTTGACACGGCACATAGCTTGATAGAGACCATTAACTCGCTGAAAATATTGGTGGCAGTTTGGATATACTTACATTAGGTACCATTAGACGTTTTACGAAATATCAATTTTCCAGATACATAATTGGTTTCAAAGAAAGACAACGCTTGTAAAACATGTCTCGGCAAAACAAGATCAGCGTAAGTATTCAAAATTCGATTTAATATAACAGCGATCTATTGAATATCGATTTAATGTCACACACCGACAATAGGGGTGATGATGGGGTACAGTAAACGAAATTCTATTTAGTCCGTCAGTTAGATGATCAAAAATAATGGACCCTTTTTTTTCTTTGGGCAATCAACCAAATAATGACAAAGTTATAGCGCGTCAAAGTTTGGGAGTAGGGGCTCGTGACGTCACTTTTGAGTAAATTTTCACTTATAAGTTTACTCAAACGTGACGTCATGCGACTTTTCAAATCAATATATCTCTGCAATGTTTATATTATGTGAAAAAAGAAAAAATACGTGTCCAATACTTTTTGAAAATCTACCTGATAAACGAAGAAAAAAAATAGTCATCATCCCTATTACATAAGGCTACCTAAAAGATCTCGATAAGGTTTTTTTTTCAGGCAAACATTCCTCCCCATTACCAGGTTTTTGTAACTTACAATTAATTGCCATTGGAGTAGCAACTTTCTTACAATTTAACGTACCAAAATGAGAAAGCTATTTCTTTATGTAATCACATTGAGTCAAAATTAACACACCACGCTTCAC